CTATAACATACAGAAACTACAAAAAATGCAAAATAGAGCGGCTAGAATTTTAACAGGGAGCAGTTACGATGCTCCTTCAAAGGAGTTACTGCGCCAACTCAACTGGGAAACGTTGGAAGAGCGCAGACGTAACAAAAAAGCATTATTAATGTACAAGGTCAAAAATTGGATCGCACCTGATTCAATAGGAAATTTGTTTAATATTTGTGATAATCAAAATTACTCTTTAAGAAGCAATTTAAACAACTTTACGTTAGATAAGCCAAATACAAATTTCTTGAAAAAAAGCATTAGTTACTCTGGTGCAAAATGTTGGAATGATCTCACAAATGATCTTAAGAGTAAGTCAATGGGCATAAAGAGGTTTAGAGCTATTGTTGGGGGCGCAGATTAGTTTCCATATGATATTTTGAAATCATTAAAATATTCTTGTAAATAGTTATTATAGTAATTAGTAGTAGTTTGTAGTTTAAGTTTCTTTTGTATGTATGTATGTATATATGTATATATATGTGTATATGTGTGTGTGTGTGTATATATATATATATATATATATATATATATATATATATATATATATATATATATATATATATATATATATATATATATATATATATATATATATATATATATATATATATATATATATATATGTATATATATGTATATGTATATGTGGATGTATGTGTATGTATACATGTATATACGTGTGAACGCCCCCTTGTGTGAACGGCCCCTTGGAAAACAGTTTTTAACTATAACTGATAGGGCTACCGTTGTTAAATATTTTTAAATAATAAATAAATAATAATAATAATTTCCTGGTAAGCATCACTTACATAAGAACCTGTTTAGGCTAACTTGGAAAATCTAGGTTCTTATATATGCGGGGTTTTACTGCACATTGAGTTAGTACTCTTCTCAATCCCAATCCTCTACCGTGCAAAATGATCTTGAAAAAGACCTGGTCCACTGTTCACATGGCGCCGTCTAATTTAAGAGCCATTCCAGTAGAAAACAAGACCTAATTTATTTGGTCTCGAATTCGTACGGTTAGCTGTACTGGAATTCGTCTCGTTTGATGCGTCCCGTGTGAACGCAAGGCGAAACTGGACAAATTTGAGTACTGTTCCGAATTCATCCGGCCCCGTGGTAGACTTGGATCAAGTCCGTC